GACAATAACCCAAATTAGGATGTATTTTTTAGTTTGTAGGAAAGTTATAGAGTTCACAAACTATGGTATAGATCTGAATATTGATCAATCCTGAAGTACTGACAGCCAATCTAATTTCTTGAGGTCCAGTAGATATGTCAGAACAGTACAGATATCCCCCAAATGTGAACACAGAACCCCCCAAATGTCAGACAGATACCCCCAAATGTCAGAACAGTACAGATATCCCCCAAATGTCAGAACAGTACAGATATCCCCCAAAGTGTCAGGACAGTACAGATATCCCCCAAATGTCAGAACAGTACAGATATCTCCCAAATGTCAGAACAGTACAGATATCCCCCAAATGTCAGGAACAGTACAGATATCCCCCAAATGTCAGTAACAGTACAGATATATCCCCCAAATGTTAGGACGGTACAGATATCCCCAAATGACCCCTTTTTGCAGAGTAGACAGTCCGACGTACTTCATAAGAGGCATGGCGAGTTTTTTGAAGTTGTATTTTTTTTGTCATAATTTTTCGGAAAATGAAAAAAAATAAAAAAAAAATTATTTTCACTATTTTTTTTTTACATACTGTCACCAGTGCAGTACAGCATCATCATATAACTGGCATAGCGGTGATCAGGGACACTGATTGGTGACAGTGTGAAAAAAAAAAAAAAATATTTTTTTTTTTATTTAAAATTTTTTATTAAATTTTTTTTTCATATTTCACTATGTCCAAAGTAGTACAATGTTACTATAGTAACATTGTACTACTTTGGGGAAATGATCGGTATTTTTTTTTACACAATTTGCTTATAGCAAAGAATTACTTTGCTATAAGCAAGTATTTACCTATTTACATCGATTCATTCAGGGCTTTTTTTTTTTTTTTTTTTTTGCTTAGCTGTGATTTGGCCACAGCTAATCACATGACATGTGCATGTGATTAGCTGTGACCATTCACAGCTAGACACTAGTATACAATGGATGGCATGAATGAAGCCATCCATTGTATACAACTGTCATGTGACCTGCTGTGATTGGTCACAGCAGGTCACATGGTACCGGCAACGGGGGCTGGTACTCAGATCTGTCATCGGCCGTGTCCGAGGTACACGGCCGGTGACAGATAACGCTGCTGCGTGGCTCTACAAGCGCGCAAACTGCGCATTTGCGGGAGGACGCCACATGGCGGCCTCCCGGAAAGGTAATACATTTTTACGGACGTCATTTGGCTATAGGCCGGGCGGCAAATGGTTAATATATAATATTGCATAATATATTAGCAGGGGGTGTCTTAGACTCAATGTAATGTTTTCATTTGCTCCTTTGTTGTAAAAAAGCCTGTTTGCAATGCTCAAGTTGAAATCTGCACATAAGTATGGGCTCATGCCCATAGGCATGAACTTGAAGTTGAATATTGGGCATATTTCCCTGCCTGGGAGCCACAGGTGCTGGTGTCTGATGGGTATACACTAGTACTTGAGTAAAAATGTACATGTGTACAAACGTACGACTCTGGTGGCAGGCTGTGTGCATGCAGAAGAGTACGTCGATATGCATGTGAAATTTTATGTAAGTACTGGTGTATACGACATACAGCCTTTGATTTCCATGGGTAGCTGTATATAGCACTAGGAAATACACTCACAATTTACAGCATATGGCCCCAGGTGCCTGCCTGTGTGTAGGCTGAAAGTGTTACTAAACCCACAACAGTACAATCAGTCTGTAGATGCAGTAAAGCATGCTTGTTATACTCACTGTGGAACCTAAGGGGTTAATCCTCTGCATTGTGTAAAAAGGCTGTTTGATCCTTTCTTCTCTGTTCCTCCCCTTTTTCAAGCGACCACCATTTATCTCCAGACTGAACCGTAGGCATGCACATGCTCAGTATGGTGTATATTGCTAGAGATGTTTTTTTTCTTCTTGGAATAGTGCATGTGATCAGCTCAGGGCCAATCAGCACTGTCCAGACAGAGGTCAGGGGATTTCCACCCTCCTAGAGCAGAAAGAAAACTCCTCCTACAAGCTTTAGCTTCTGCTGGGCTGGACACTGATAGAAGTCACAAGACTGCTCTAACTGCTGATGAGAAAATGTATTTAGCAGTTTATATTTACTAAAATAATTGCATTTCCATGTTTTGTGTACTGTGGGAGACCATAAATAGTGAATGCAGGGTCCGGGGAGAGCGGATATAGTGAATGCAGGGTCCGGGGAGAGCGGATATAGTGAATGCAGGGTCCGGGGAGAGCAGATATAGTGAATGCAGGGTCCGGGCAGAGCAGATATAGTGAATGCAGGGTCCGGGGAGAGCAGATATAGTGAATGCAGGGTCCGGGGAGACCGGATAGAGTGAATGCAGGGTCCCAGGGAGACCAGATATAGTGAATGCAGGGTCCGGGAGACCAGATATAGTGAATGCAGGGTCCGGGGAGACCGGATATAGTGAATGCAGGGTCCGGGGAGACCAGATATAGTGAATGCAGGGTCCGAGGAGACCAGATATAGTGAATGCAGGGTCGGGGAGGGTATAGTGAATGCAGGAGGGACCAGATATAGTGAATGCAGGGTCCGGGGAGACCAGATATAGTGAATGCAGGGTCCGGGGAGACCAGATATAGTGAATGCAGGGTCCAGGGGAGACCAGATATAGTGAATGCAGGGTCCGGGGAGAGACCAGATATAGTGAATGCAGGGTCCGGGGAGACCGGATATAGTGAATGCAGGGTTCGGGGAGACCAGATATAGTGAATGCAGGGTCCGGGGAGAGCAGATATAGTGAATGCAGGATCCAGGGAGACCAGATATAGTGAATGCAGGGTCGGGAGAGCAGATATAGTGAAATGCAGGGTCAGGGGAGACCAGCTATAGTGAATGCAGGGTCAGGGGAGACCAGATATAGTGAATGCAGGGTCCGGGGAGACCAGATATAGTGAATGCAGGGTCAGGGGAGACCAGATATAGTGAATGCAGGGTCCGGGGAGACCGGGATATAGTGAATGATAGACCAGTGTGAATGCAGGGTCAGGGGAGACCAGATATAGTGAATGCAGGGTCCGGGGAGACCAGATATAGTGAATGCAGGGTCCGGGAGACCGGATATAGTGAATGCAGGGTTCGGGGAGACCAGATATAGTGAATGCAGGGTCCGGGGAGAGCAGATATAGTGAATGCAGGATCCAGGGAGACCAGATATAGTGAATGCAGGGTCCGGGGAGAGCAGATATAGTGAATGCAGGGTCAGGGAGACCGGATATAGTGAATGCAGGGCCCAGGGAGACCAGATATAGTGAATGCAGGGTCAGGGGAGACCAGATATAGTGAATGCATTGTGTAAAAAGGCTGTTTGATCCTTTCTTCTCTGTTCCTCCCCTTTTTCAAGCGACCACCATTTATCTCCAGACTGAACCGTAGGCATGCACATGCTCAGTATGGTGTATATTGCTAGAGATGTTTTTTTTCTTCTTGGAATAGTGCATGTGATCAGCTCAGGGCCAATCAGCACTGTCCAGACAGAGGTCAGGGGATTTCCACCCTCCTAGAGCAGAAAGAAAACTCCTCCTACAAGCTTTAGCTTCTGCTGGGTTCTGGACACTGAAGTCACAAGACTGCTCTAACTGCTGATGAGAAAATGTATTTAGCAGTTTATATTTACTAAAATAATTGCATTTCCATGTTTTGTGTACTGTGGGAGACCATAAATAGTGAATGCAGGGTCCGGGGAGAGCGGATATAGTGAATGCAGGGTCCGGGGAGAGCGGATATAGTGAATGCAGGGTCCGGGGAGAGCGGATATAGTGAATGCAGGGTCCGGGGAGAGCAGATATAGTGAATGCAGGGTCCGGGGAGAGCAGATATAGTGAATGCAGGGTCCGGGCAGAGCAGATATAGTGAATGCAGGGTCCGGGGAGAGCAGATATAGTGAATGCAGGGTCCGGGGAGACCGGATAGAGTGAATGCAGGGTCCAGGGAGACCAGATATAGTGAATGCATGGTCCGAGGAGACCAGATATAGTGAATGCAGGGTCCGGGGAGACGGATATAGTGAATGCAGGGTCCGGGAGACCAGATATAGTGAATGCAGGATCCGGGGAGACCAGATATAGTGAATGCAGGGTCCGAGGGAGACCAGATATAGTGAATGCAGGGTCCGGGGAGACCGGATATAGTGAATGCAGGATCCAGGGAAACCAGATATAGTGAATGCAGGGTCCGGGGAGACCGGATATAGTGAATGCAGGGTCCGGGGGAGACCGGATATAGTGAATGCAGGGTCCGGGGAGACCAGATATTGTGAATGCAGGGTCAGGGGAGACCAGATAAGGTGAATGCAGGGTCCGGGGAGACCAGATATAGTGAATGCAGGGTCCGGGGAGACCGGATATAGTGAATGCAGGGTTCGGGGAGACCAGATATAGTGAATGCAGGGTCCGGGGAGAGCAGATATAGTGAATGCAGGATCCAGGGAGACCAGATATAGTGAATGCAGGGTCCGGGGAGAGCAGATATAGTGAATGCAGGGTCAGGGGAGACCGGATATAGTGAATGCAGGGCCCAGGGAGACCAGATATAGTGAATGCAGGGTCAGGGGAGACCAGATATAGTGAATGCATTGTGTAAAAAGGCTGTTTGATCCTTTCTTCTCTGTTCCTCCCCTTTTTCAAGCGACCACCATTTATCTCCAGACTGAACCGTAGGCATGCACATGCTCAGTATGGTGTATATTGCTAGAGATGTTTTTTTTCTTCTTGGAATAGTGCATGTGATCAGCTCAGGGCCAATCAGCACTGTCCAGACAGAGGTCAGGGGATTTCCACCCTCCTAGAGCAGAAAGAAAACTCCTCCTACAAGCTTTAGCTTCTGCTGGGCTGGACTCTGAAGAAGTCACAAGACTGCTCTAACTGCTGATGAGAAAATGTATTTAGCAGTTTATATTTACTAAAATAATTGCATTTCCATGTTTTGTGTACTGTGGGAGACCATAATATAGTGAATGCAGGGTCCGGGGAGAGCGGATATAGTGAATGCAGGGTCCGGGGAGAGCGGATATAGTGAATGCAGGGTCCGGGGAGAGCAGATATAGTGAATGCAGGGTCCGGGCAGAGCAGATATAGTGAATGCAGGGTCCGGGGAGAGCAGATATAGTGAATGCAGGGTCCGGGGAGACCGGGATAGAGTGAATGCAGGGTCCAGGGAGACCAGATATAGTGAATGCATGGTCCGGGAGACCAGATATAGTGAATGCAGGGTCCGGGGAGACCGGATATAGTGAATGCAGGGTCCGGGGAGACCAGATATAGTGAATGCAGGATCCGGGGAGACCAGATATAGTGAATGCAGGGTCCGAGGAGACCAGATATAGTGAATGCAGGGTCCGGGGAGACCGGATATAGTGAATGCAGGATCCAGGGAAACCAGATATAGTGAATGCAGGGTCCGGGAGACCGGATATAGTGAATGCAGGGTCCGGGGAGACCAGATATTGTGAATGCAGGGTCAGGGGAGACCAGATAAGTGAATGCAGGGTCCGGGGAGACCAGATATAGTGAATGCAGGGTCCGGGGAGACCAGATATAGTGAATGCAGGGTCCGGGGAGACCAGATATAGTGAATGCAGGGTCCGGGGAGAGCAGATATAGTGAATGCAGGATCCAGGGAGACCAGATATAGTGAATGCAGGGTCCGGGGAGACCAGATATAGTGAATGCAGGGTCAGGGGAGACCAGATATAGTGAATGCAGGGTCAGGGGAGACCAGATATAGTGAATGCAGGGCCCAGGGAGACCAGATATAGTGAATGCAGGGTCAGGGGAGACCAGATATAGTGAATGCAGGGTCCGGGGAGACCGGATATAGTGAATGCAGGGTCCGGGGTTTAGGAACACTGAGCAATGACTCATTCCTTTGACTGGCTCTCTTCAAGGCTTAGTCAGACAAAACACCACTGAGGTCAGGTTGCTACCTGCTTTGCTGTCCCTTTAGCCTACCCATAATGCTCTGGGAAACCTTCATCATGTTCCAAATTTATTTAATGGTGAAACAAAGATTATATACATATGACAAAAAAACATGTGTTCCAAAAAACAGGATATATGTTTGACCATGATTGGATGGTCCAAGTCAGCACAGCTTCAGCTCATTCACTGTGCTCCACAGAAAGCTCCTAAACTTTCATAAAAGATATACTCTTTTTGGGATTTAGATAATTATCAGGTTGAAAGTGGGCATTTTATTTAACATGTGCTGAAAAAATGCAATGTTTTTGCATGTTTAATACACAATTTCTGCAGGTAAAAAAAAGTGCATTTACAATTTGTTTCCTTAGCAGCATTGCACCCACTATCAGCAGATCATGGGTGCAATGTCAGGCTCCTGCAGACTGTCAGTGTAGCTGCCTCCCTGTACCTCCGATACGAGCGGTTCCTTCAGTCCAGGAAGAATCAATGAACTATGAAAATGTTCAGTAGCGCCCATGAGATGCCATTTGGAAACTTGGGCACTGCCCGAGGGCCCGGGGTCAGTAGAGGGCCCATGAGATGCCCCTGGTACCTTTTTCATAGGCTTTTTTGAGTTTGGGCAAGGACACAGGGGCCCCATGATCCCCTATTGCCCGGGGGCCCCATGAGTTGTCAGTCCGCCCCTGGTAGCGTCCTCACAGTTCATTGAGAACTACATTGAGAACTCTGGGAATGAATGATGCAACCATATGGGCGGAGCCCCGCGCGGCCCTGTTCTTTTCAAATTGTGAAGGTGCAGGTGCTCCCGGGAGGGGAGATTGTGGTGGGGGGTGGGAGCTGCAGGAGCAGGAACATGTAATATGTTTCCAAAGGAGAACTTATCCTTCAAATCTACTTTATGAGACTTTCAAAACTGGCCACACACTGATGGATCTAACAGACACCTCTATCCATATTATACAGTTATAACAGCGGGTGCCAGGATACCTGAACAGTGGCTGCATCTCATTGGATGCAGCCGATGTTTGGCCAACAATCTTCAATTTTTCAACTAAAACAACAAAAGCATTTTGCTAGATTTGTTTGAAAAAGAAAAAAAACCTGTTGATCCTGCCAGAAATGAGCTGAGCTCATCCTGTGTGCCCCTGCCTTTGCTACACAGTTATTAGCTGGCTTTATTCCCAGCTCTTTATAACAACTACAAGCTACCTCCCCCCGGGTTATGAAGAAGAGGAGAGGGGGAAGTGTTCTGTAGTCCCATCACACTTCCTCTCCTAGGGTGACAATACTCCATAGATGTGGTAGAGTAAGTGAATGTTGTCACCCTAGGACAGGAAGTGTGTTCTGGCAGGATCACCAGGTGAAAAAGAAAGGAAAAGAAGCCTAAAAAAAGAAAGACATGAAGCCTCCACATCTACAGACTGGTAGGCTGAATATATATAAAAACATTTTCCCCGGGTGCAGATACACTTGAAAGTGGTTCTAAAGGCAGGAGGTTTTTTTTTTTATCTTAGTGCATTCTCTGCATTTAGATATAAAAAAGCCTTCTGCAAGCAGCTCCCCCCAGACCCTCCCAAATACTTACCTGAGCCCATTCTCGATCCAGCAATGTGCACAAGAGCATCTGCTCTCTTGCCTCTCTCTCCTCATCAGCTCAGAGACAGCAGGGAGAGCCATAGGCTGCTGCTGTTATCAGTCAAATCCTGTGAGCGGGGAGCAGGGGAGGAGCGGGGCCAAGCTGCGCTGTGTGGGTCAATGGCTGCTGCTGCTGTCAGTCAAATCCTGTGAGCGGGGAGCAGGGGAGGGGCGGGGCCGAGCTGCGCTGTGTGGGTCAATGGCTGCTGCTGCTGTCAGTCAAATCCTGTGAGCGGGGAGCAGGGGAGGGGCGGGGCCGAGCTGCGCTGTGTGGGTCAATGGCTGCTGCTGCTGTCAGTCAAATCCTGTGAGCGGGGAGCAGGGAAGGGGCGGGGCCGAGCTGTGCTGTGTGTGTCAATGGCTGCTGCTGCTGTCAGTCAAATCCTGTGAGCGGGGAGCAGGGGAGGGGCGGGGCCGAGCTGCGCTGCATGTGTCAATGGCTGCTGCTGCTGTCAGTCAAATCCTGTGAGCGGGGAGCAGGGAAGGGGCGGGTACCCAGTTGCGCTGCGTGTGTCAATGGCTGCTGCTGCTGACAGTCAAATCCTGTGAGCGGGGAGCAGGGAAGGGGCGGGGCCGAGCTGCGCTGCGTGTATCAATGGCTGCTGCTGCTGTCAGTCAAATCCTGTGAGCGGGGGAGCAGGGGAGGGGCGGGGCCGAGCTGCGCTGCATGTGTCAATGGCTGCTGCTGCTGTCAGTCAAATCCTGTGAGCGGGGAGCAGGGAAGGGGCGGGTACCCAGCTGCGCTGCGTGTGTCAATGGCTGCTGCTGCTGACAGTCAAATCCTGTGAGCAGGGAGCAGGGAGGGGCGGGGCCGAGCTGCGCTGCGTGTATCAATGGCTGCTGCTGCTGTCAGTCAAATCCTGTGAGCAGGGGAGGGGTGGGGCCAAGCTGCTGCTGCTGCTGCTGCTGTCAGTCAAATCCTGTGAGCAGGGAGCAGGGGAGGGATGGGGCCGAGCTGCGCTGCGTGTATCAATGGCTGCTGCTGCTGTCAGTCAAATCCTGTGAGCGGGGAGCAGGGGAGGGGCGGGGCCGAGCTGCGCTGCGTGTGTCAATGGCTGCTGCTGCTGTCAGTCAAATCCTGTGAGCGGGGAGCAGGGGAAGGGGCGGGGCCGAGCTGCGCTCCGTGTGTCAATGGCTGCTGCTGCTGTCAGTCAAATCCTGTGAGCGGGGAGCAGGGGAGGGGCGGGGCCGAGCTGAGCTGCGTGTGTCAATGGCTGCTGCTGCTGTCAGTCAAATCCTGTGAGCGGGGAGCAGGAGAAGGGCGGGGCCGAGCTGCGCTGCGTGTGTCAATGGCTGCTGCTGCTGTCAGTCAAATCCTGTGAGCAGGGGAGGGGCGGGGCCGAGCTGGCTGGGTGTCAATGGATGCTGCTGCTGTCAGTCAAATCATGTGAGCGGGGAGGGAGAGGATGGGTTAGGCTACGTAGCTGCTGGGATGCTGCTGTCAGTCAAATCATGGGGCGGGGCCGAGCTGCGCTGCGTGTGTCAATGGATGCTGCTGCTGTCAGTCAAATCATGTGAGCGGGGAGCAGGGGAGGGATGGGGCCGAGCTGCGCTGCGTGTGTCAATGGCTGCTGCTGCTGTCAGTCAAATCCTGTGAGCGGGGAGCAGGGGAGAGGCGGGGGGGTCGAGCTGCGCTGCGTGTGTCAATGGCTGCTGCTGCTGTCAGTCAAATCCCGTGAGCGGGGATCAGGGAAGGGGCGGGGCCGAGCTGCGCTGCGTGTGTCAATGGCTGCTGCTGCTGTCAGTCAAATCCTGTGAGCGGGGAGCAGGGGAGGGGCGGGGCCAAGCTGTGCTGCGTGTGTCAATGGCTGCTTCTGCTGTCAGTCAAATCCTGTGAGCAGGGGAGAGGCGGTGCCAAGCTGCGCTGCATATGTCAATGGATGCACAGAGCCCAGCTACAGATTGAACATGCATGAGTGCCTTCATAGCAAGCGGCTTGCTATGGGGGCACCCGGAGTGCGGAGGAGCCAGGTGCGCCAGCAGGAGACCCCAGAAGAGGAGGATTGCGGCTAATCTGAGCAAAACCATTGCACAGAGCAGGTAAGTATGACATATTTGTTATTTTTTTAAAAAATACAACACTTTGCCTTTAAAATCACTTTAAATCTTTCCCAGGCAAGCTGGCAGCACTTACACCAGTTTATTTCTTATTTTCCAGTGGAGCAGCACATCCATAGACAACTTCATGATACTAATTAAACTGGACCTGTGTTTTACTCATGCAGGGCAAAGTATTAAGTTTACTTTGCTAACCAGCTGTGTATACTCATCTACCCTTTGCTTATCCACCACATTCGAGGAGTGAAGAGAGCTAACTCTGTGAAAGTCATGATTTGGAGTTTACAGTATACAGGGTTGAGGGCTCTCTCTGCTGTTACAAACCACAGGGCCCCATACAGTCAACCTGACGGGGTCCCCCTCCCTCCAAAAAAGACAGTTTGCTATGCTTCAGTTGTGAATGAACACAGTGAGTGTTCGGTACCGATCCGGAAAGGAAGGGGCTGGTAAAAGTGACATATTTACTGGACACTTCCACTCCATCCTAAAAGATCGTATTGTGTGTTTGCAGCTGTCGGTGGGAAAGGAAGGAGGGATGCTGGCAGGACCATGGGAGTGGCGGCACACAGGGCAGCCTGGGCAGCAGGGAGAAACGTATGGTGTACAGGGAGGGTGATGGGTGTGGCGGGGGGCAGTCACTGGAACCGATCCCCTGCATGGCTCTCTCTGCAGCTGCAGAAATCCAGCAGGAGAGAGAGAGGAAAAAAAAGCCAACTTTCAGCTGCTGCAGAGGGAGCACTACAGGGGATCGGTTCCACTAACTGCCCCCCTGCCATGCCGATCACCCTCCCTATCCTCATCCGATTCACCCAGCTGCCTGGGCCCCCCTGCTGGCCTGGGTCCCATACAGAAGGACTGGTGGTACCCCCTTATGCACGTGTGACATGAGTGGCCATACATCAAGCACAAAAGCCGTCACAAAGAAAGGAGGGAAGTGAGTCACATGCCCCTCCATATCTGGAAGTACAAGGCACTTTTTTCACTACTGGTGGAAGAACGGAGCAGTAGATGACTGAAAGTGAGTATGTGCGACTGGTGGGG